ACACATCCAAAGAGTGTTGGGGGGGGTGTTATTTGGCCTCCTTTGTACATTCACCCTTTGTGCCTATCCTAAGTGTTTTTATCAGTTTTCCAGTCATATGTTTCAGTGGTGAATATAAAGCCAACGTGAATATAAGGCCCTCCATTCATTCAGAGACAGGGGCTCCTGCATCCCCGTTCACACCTACCGAGTGCGTTGTTTAAGGCTTGCTGCAGATTCAGGCAGAAATCATTGAATCGATTCACATTTAACGACTGCTTCAAGGATAGTTTTACCACTTTTTGAGACAGAAACTTAATTATAAATTTTCTCTCCACACTTCACAAGAAAACTTTCCGTTCTGAAGCCCGGAAGACAACATTTACCACAACTGATAGAGGCAGCGGTGGCAATCCTGACGCAGGCTCAGACATGATTCCCTCGTGATTTAAAAACCAGCCAGGGTTTTCCTGGGAGGCAGCCGCGGGAGGAGAGCTGCCAGGGACTGCAGCTACGACAAGCGGATCAAATTATCGTATCAACACCGCCTAGCAGTTTGCACTTGAGGCACAGAAAGCTTTTACCGTGCCTGAGGTTTTTACCTCTTTCCAGGCACATGAGCTCCCGCCGCTTCATAATCAAAGCTTTCAGCAACCGACATTGAAATTGGAAGGGTTTTTTTGAAACTTCCTCCATCGAGCACACAAAGTTTAAGTGAGAGAGATGGGATTATTTGAGTAGCGTCACAGATCCACTCCACTACCTCCTGTCCCCGTCCCTCAGCTCGGCAGGAAAGCCCACCAGGCCTCAGGTGCCGCCCGGCATCCGATGCACGCATCCCCTCAAACGGCAAAAGCAGGTATTTTTATGTCGCTGTAATGAGTTTTTTAAGTGCTTTTTATCCAACACTTGGCATTGCAGGTTCCTGATCGTCATGGAGTCTGAACAAAAAGCAGTATGTGTAGGTCTCCCGTAAAATAGCATTTGCTCATCGCATTTGGACTGACACTTTCATTCTTTTTTGGTTTTTTTTTTAAAAAAGATCCTAATTGAAAGCCCTGCAGAGAAGATGTCAAGTTAAATTTATGACAAAGGTAGCTGCTTCTGCAGGCTGGTTTTCAAACTGCCGGCTAGAAATGTGACTGACATGCGTGTCACACGCGTGACAGAAAAAGAGCTCGTTCTGAAGAACTTTTAAAAATCGGTATTTTTATAATCGATCTGAGGTTCGTGAAATAGGAAGACAAAGACACTTTGCTGTTTTTCAGAGCATTTACAGGCCATGTTTCAGAAAATTACTTCCTCGGGAAAATTTCTCTTAAGGACAGCATTTAAGCGCAAGTTTAAGTCCCACTGAGATTTCAACAACATTGAAGGCTGAGTACAGATTTAAATGCTGTGTTAAGAGGGTTGATTTTCTGACAGACTTTCAAAATCCACTGTTCAGGCAATATGCATTTAAATAGGGGTTCACACCTCTAAGCTGTGCAAACATTGCCAGCAATAATGAAGTGCTGGTATGCAGACATTTCTGAACCACAAAGTTACAAAATTTCCTCTTAGCTGAAATTTGTTCACATCCTTGTGTCTGAAATCTTTTTCCCAATACTCATTTTAACAGAAATTAGTAGATTAACATATTTTATCAGCTACTGGAGTTCTACCTTTGATTTTAATTAGGCTTGGGTTAGGTCCTGAAAAAAAGACAGGCTATTTCGACAAATGAATTGAGAAAGTCTTTGTTGTCTTAGAAGTGGTATATAACAGTGATTTGAATGTATATTCATCTGCCCTATTATAGAAATACTTTGAATAGAAAAATCTGTTTTTCCTTGTTTTCAGGAGGAATCACTAAGCCTGAAGAATTTTCTTAAAGAAATCAAAATTATAACAATGTCCTTGTATTTTCGGATGATTTTGTCTTTTTTTCTGCATTTCTTTAAACATTCTGACTAAAAAACACTTCTATTTTCAAAACCTTTATTTTCACAAGTTTCCTCATTTCATCAACACAAATGTTTTCTCCAAAGCCTTTCAGAAAACTCCATTATCATCAGAACTTGAATTTAAAATGAAAAAAGAAAGTAAGTAGTGAAAAGGGTAGAACAGATGGGGGAATAAAATAAACCCCAACAAAATGCAAGTTCTTTCAGCTGTTGCTTAAATATAATAAAGCCTCTAACACCACAAGCAAGGTTTTTCTTTTTCCAGTGCTCTCTCTTTCCTTGCCTTTGAATTTTTTTGCAGTAATTCCTAATATCGCTGCCATAACTTCAGCCACTTGGATACGAAAAATATTGGGAGCCCTAGCATAGGTGGTGCAGGATACCAATTGTGGTGTGCATTGATTAGACTTGCTAAGAGCAGGTTTTACCACCAGACTACTTCTGATGTCAGGTTCTTTAGTCATTGTTATTTTCATCATATATTCAAATTCCATTATTAGGAGTATTTGCTCTATCTAGCCTTAGATGTCTAACATGGCTGCCTAAATTAGGAGGCTAGTCTCATTAGGCTTTTCAACAGTGAGTGGAGAGAATCATAGAATCATAGAATCATTAAGGTTGGAAGAGACCTCTAAGATCATCGAGTCCAACCGTCAACCCAACACCACCATGCCCACTAAACCATGTCCCTAAGCACCTCATCTACACGTCTTTTAAATACTTCCAGGGACGGGGACTCAACCACTTCCCTGGGCAGCCTGTTCCAATGTTTAACCACTCTTTCAGTAAAGAAATTTTTCCTCATGTCCAAAGGTGGAGAGAGACAGACTCTTTCACAGTCTGGGAGTTAATTTCCACATCCATCGTCAGTTATGGTCATACGTGCTGTCTAATGTCAGGAAGACAGCACACCCGTTTATTTGGGACCTTTATTTCCTCTTCTAGTCACCAAAAGGAGAGGAAGGCCACCAAGATTCAGAAAGCATAGAAGGAGAAGCCTCAGTGTTGACATGAGCATTCATACACAGCCACTAGTCTGCACTAGAAGAAGTAGGTATAATAGATGGACACAAATGTTGAATGTGAGTTATTTTATGTGCGGGTAATTATATCGATACGTGAAAAAGAGCAGCCCAGCCTAGATGGTGAATGTGGAAAGCTGGACCTTCAATAAACTTACAGGATCTAGCGCTCTATTTCTCAGGTGAAAGCAGGGAACGCAAGATAACCATCTTCCTATGTGAGTACTGTACCACCCAGGCTCAAGGCATCCCTTCTGCAGGATCTGTATCTCCCCTGGGCTGTGCGGTCCCGCTGTGACCACTTCAGGGAAGGTGTGTTTCAGGGCTGCTGGATCCTCAAGCACAGCCTGGTGCTGCTGGAAAATTGTTTTTAAATCCTAACGCATTGTTGGAGTGTTGTAACAGGACCACAACCATGCTAAATGTATTCAGTGGGTGACATTAACAAATGTGACTGTTCCAGATATAGCATGGTAGGTGTCATACCGCGCTCTTTTGATAGTTTAACACAGGGGAAAAACTACAATAAAAGGTAGTAACAAGAGGCTGCATCATTATACCTGATACCAGGAGTACGCCTGATCTGATGGATCAGCGAGAACAGTGATAATCTTGGCCTTGGGGGCCAGAGAAGGTGCTCGTTTGGGAGCTTTCTCAGAATAGAAATAATTGGCATTTTTCTCAAAGAAGAAATGACTTGTTGCACTGACTGGAATGTGGAAAAATTCCAGGTACCTGGACAAGTGAGAGAGAGAAATATGGATTAAAAAGCAGAGTTATTCTAATCCTGAAACTATTAAATATAAATATTTCTATTTATTTATTATAGGTAGGATGTATCCCCAGGATATATTTATCTGTGCGTGTAAATGATGAACATTAACTGAAATTAGACTGTAAGGATCTAAAGCCACTAGGACTGTGTTTACAGAGAAACCTTCAAGCAAATATATGTTACTGGTATTGTCACTATTTTATAGCAAAGCAAGGTGAAAAGCAGATATCCAGCTTTCCACTCCAGTGCTAGTAGAACTACTATGCTGTGCTTCCTCCCAGGAGAGCCCAAAGTAATCAATTTATTTATCAGAGAAAAAATATTTGAAATTTTACAATTTCCTTAACATTGATTCCTGCTCACTGATGAGCTCTAAAGAGCCCTGATTTACATCACATCCAGTTAATACTACCAGTTCATTTATAGTCTACACCCAGAGTAGCTTATGACTTCATCCACGTATAGTCACAGAAGCACTGATAAAATTAGATATTTATGAAGTTCAGGTACTAATTATTGGAGACTGGGCTGGCTGAATGATGCCTTTTATCTGCAGGGTACTGCAGCTAGACAAGTCTAATCTGTTAAGCTTCAAAATTCAAGCGAGGGGTTCCAATCACAAACTAGCCCACTTCTCCCAGACCAGACAAAAAAAAAAAAAAAAAAAGAGGAAAAAAACCCACAAGTCTTCAGCTAATAGCTGACTGACCGAGACCGACCTGTTTCCTACTGCTGATGCTCAATGTTTTCATGACGTTGTGGAAGCACTCGTCCTCCTCGCTTGTCACCTCCTACCCTCAAATACGTACACACAAAGGCTTGCTGTTCCTAAGAAGTAAGAAGCATCTTTGGATGCGGCAATGATTTGGTTTGCTTGTTTAAGGGATGCCTCCCTCCTGCTTGCACAATTCCGACAACAGCGTCTAACTATTGCTGCTCCCCTAGCTGATGGGCAGCCCGAGCGATGGGTGCCTGGTTCCTCGCTATTTCGGGCCTCTGGTTGACTTCTGACAAGAAACTGCTGGTGAGGCAGTTCCTGTGATCGGAATCCTCAAGCTAATCCCAACAGCTCCATTCTGTCTTATATGTTTGTCATGAAATAAACATCATTGGTATCTGAAATGGAGCCACGAACAGCTGCGCTAATTATGCCAAACCAGCACCTTTATTTAATCACCCTTTTTATCATTATTAACTAACTCGCAAATTGAGTATTTACACAACACATTAAAAAAATGCAGAGCATACATATCTCAAAAAACTCTGCGCCTGCCTAGAAACCATTACCACCCATGGACTGTATAGTTGATAAGAAAAATGCAGTTAAGATAACCTGATTGCGTAAAGTGCCCGACAAGCATTCTCTCTCAAGCATTTTTTTCTTTAATTTATGGAATAATTACACTTGCTAGTGGAGCAGTTTTACTTACAGCTTCATTACTGCATAGTATTAATTGTAATTTTATAATACAGTTTAGTACATTCTTCCTTCATATATTGACTTACAATATTTTGACTCAATACAAAAATTCTCCCCTCACACCACTTCACTTCAGTAATTCTCAGATTTAGTACTTTTGATAAATACACGATTTTCAATATGTTAGTTCATTTTGCACATTTTGGTGACCTTCTGTGAGAACCAAAGGCTCTGGATCTTGCAGAATACATCCTTTAGAGTAATTTTCATAATAGCTGTGTGATTAAGCACTGCTTTTTCCTGTAAAAATCACCAAAGGCTTTCAATGCCTTTGACACAAATAGCTCCTGCTATTTGAGGTATTGACAAAACACATAATAACCATACCTGGTTGCTATGGCAGGAAAATCTGAACTCTTGGGTATAAAGGATTTGGTGTGGCAAAAAGGTGGGCGTTAAATGGGAAAGGAAAGCTATCTCAGCTAGTATGAACTTGCAGGATTTAAAGGAGGAGTGGGTACTTACGTAGTAAATGGCAGGACCATTCAATTACTGTAGGGTATGTATGAAAGAAACAGCAGCTGTTCTGAAGCAGATACAAGCTAACGTTCAATCACTAAAGTTTAGGGGGAAACATCTCTTTCCATACATTAAACCATTAACTACAGTCCTCCTGGACTTTTTTTGGTACAGCCTCTGAAATAAGTCAATGAAGATCATTATAGCCGATGCTACACTGAAATATCTACCTCTGCAGTCAGACTCGCTATGGCAGTTTCTATTCATGCAAAAGACATGCACGTCCTCAAAGCAGAGACATTGGAGAAATTCAATAGTAATAAAGGAAAAATAGTGCTTCTCCCAAAACGGAGTTATATGAAACCAAAGGGATTTGAACAGTGTTCCTGACAGAGGCTGCTATCAACTTGTAATCCCCAAAATGAAAAATACAGATGGGGGTGATGGTAGAGAAACGTGGCCACAAGCATCTTCAATAGCATCTTGTACCTATTTACGCTAGAGAACAATCCTTCTCATTTTGATGTAGACAGAGAGCACTATTTGTCTCATTAGCATAAAGACAAAAGAAAAAAAAAACAGATGCAAAAACGTGCAGTATTTATCAATTTGCTACATTTAAGTCGTTTTCTTACCAGCCGATGCCCTTACATTAGTTATCCCCATCAAAAAACCTGCAGTTTTCCAAAGGGTCTTGATCCATGGATATTACCAGCAATTGAAGAATGGATCATTAAGAACCAGCCCAGAATAGCAGCACCTTTTGAAAACAAAAAACAAACCAAGTCAGTCTCAAGAAACAAGAACAACACATTTATTCTGTTTTTCCTTAAACGTAATTGTTCTGACATTCATGATGGAAAATCCATGGTCTGAACATATAAACCATCTATGTCAAAATTTTACTCCAAATAGTTTAAACTATTAACGTGAACAAGATGTTAAACCTCTAATTTTCACCGCTTACCTTGCTTGTTTTCCTTCTCCTTTGTTTTGACCCTCAAGATAATGAGCGAAATCAATTTCACTTTTGCTATGAGAGCTAGTGCTCCTTTTTTATCATATTCATATCATAAACAATAGAGCCTACCAATACAATACTTGGATACATTCAAAATATATAACAATTAAGAGAGTGGCACATTTTAATCTTGGAAGCACTGAAGTGGCGCGGAATATCATACATTATTCTATGAGAGGCTTTATCAGAACATAAGTTTTAGAGTAGATTTCGCTTATTATTATCAAAACATGCACACTACTAAAGAAATTCCTCCTCCAGTAATCCAACGATGGTACCTCATAGCTCTCTAGGAGGAAAACACGACTGTTTTCTACGTATCAGTGAGACTATACTAACTCCTTTGCCAAATTCAACGCTTAAAAAAATCTTTTAAAACATATTTACATCCTACGCAGTTAAATTCCCTTCCCACATGTTTCTTAGCAGTTTTCTGAGGCCCTATTACAAGAATTTCGAGTAATCGATCACAACTCTCTGCTTTGACCAGATGTCTTTTACCACTGCCTGGATCCTAACAGAAAAATACTATATTGCAGGTGAACAGCTTTCCAATCTCAAAAATGCTGAATTTCTTCCTGTAGAAACTCTTCACTTCCACCTGCTCAGTGCTGTAATACTGCTCAGCCTCGAAGCTGACACCCTTCTGGTAGGCCCCTTTTGTCCGAGTCATAATGAAAAAGATGCTGAGTAACTTTTGCCTTTTCTCCCCACAATTTAAGTTGTTCAATTACAACTATTCAAATTATTTCAAATAGCTTTTGTCAGTATGAATTTTGTTTCTCTAACGAGAAAGATCAGCCATTCCTTTCCTAAGTGCTTGATGAAAAATAGTCACAAATTGAAAAATGCATTCAGTATGATTCCTGCCAAACAGAAATATCTTCAAGCGAAATACTTTCACAACGAATGTCATATTGCTGTAATCTCAGTTAGAGATTTAGGCAAGAGTAATTCCAAAAAATTTTAATGGGTATAGATGTCCAGGAAACAACATGATCTTACATACACTTTTCCAGACAGAGCTGCCTGGTATTCTCATCTCTAGCTGAGAGAATCAGAGTAGCTGCAGGACTAGGACTCTGAGACACTGACTACTCCTAAAACAATAATACTTGCAGTTTCAGGTTGGTCCACTTCTGAAAAAAGATGGATAGGTTCACAGAGGTGTATAAACCCCAGCTGGTCATTGCCACAGCTGGACAAACAGGTCACGAAGATGCTGATCTCCAATACACTGACAGGTTTGGGCTCACTGTAATGCTTTCAGATCGTGACAACACGTGGAAGGAAATGAAGAATTAACTGAGGGAACTCTCCTACTACTCTAAACTTGGTTAGTCAAGAACTAATGAGAAAATGCCTTTGCAAGACTTAAAAAGTGCTCTCACGATTTATAAATTGTTCCTGTTAACTTTGCATAACAGTGTTCACTAATAACCTTCTCATCTCTGAAAAACTACATAAACATCGCTGCAAAAAAGCAATTAAAACAAGTAATCCGAAGTGGCATAACACTTAAAATGTTTATAGAATCATATTTGACAAATACTTAGAATTTGAAACTAGTATTCGTTCTTAACGTCCCAACCTGCATTTATTTTTAGCATAAATGTAGTTCAGCTGACTTAAGCAGAATAATTTATTACGCTAGACTTGCACTTAACTATCTTTAGGGCCAACATAACCCTATTAGACGTAATTATTCCAGCATTATATTCATGGAAACCCTAGCATACAGCACACTTCAGATGTAATTTTAAGACCACCATCTTTCTTAAAGATTTTCCAAATTACAGCACAGTACAATGAAAACTAAAAATATAATAAATGCCCTTACAATCAAGCAGGTCTTCATTTTCCCTCAGATTTATAATAAAAGTCTCCCTCTACAGTTCAGTGCTCCAGATGCTAACCTGGAACGTGGAAATCTCGATTCATATCTCCGCTCCAGTGGGACTTTAGGCTAATAACTTTGTATCTCCATGTCTTAAGTACCCCTTCTGTAAAAAGGGGGTAAAAATGCTTCCAAGGAACTGTTATGTTGTCGACTGGTTGGATACTTCAGGTGCATTTACATAAGTGGCTTCCGTGATGTGATAATAATAAGGGAAATCACGGATTATAATGCATTCCATTTCACTATCGTTAATTTTATTGAGTCCAGTTTAGCGGATTTACTTCTCTTCACACTGTTATCTTAGCACTTCACAATAGAGTATGAACTGTGAAGTTAATTAATAATTTAATTAATATTCCCTTTACTTTTTTACAGGATTGTTAAGAAAAATGTAAAGGAAAGACTAAATCTAGCAGCTGATCTTGCGATACTAGAACGAGTCCGCTTCCTGAGTAAGGCGTTCATCATTGTCTTTTGTTTTATTCTTCTGTTCATTTAGTTAGTTTCGTTCCCCTTTGTACATTTCAACTTATTGTAAAATTGCTGTACACTTACGATATTTTCTAGAGAAAAAATAATATGGCTGTGCAATTAATATTACTAAAATACAACTGGGGATAAATTAAGTATGCCCTCGAACTGCTAATATCAGCTATTTCCTAATATTTGAGACACTGACTGTTGATATGGGTTTAATTGAGTCCATTTGGATAATATGTATACTCTTGTACATAAAGACACACCTTCCTCAATTAGCTTAATATGTGTTATACCAACTATAACTATGTCTGCAGGGAAAATACATTACTAAAGTTGTTATTTAATAATTAATCAGATTCTAATCACATTTTTTGTGTTTCCAGCCAGCTCAAGCATTTATGTTTTTCAATATTTACCAAGTAATTACATTTTTATATAGAAAGTCCCAGTAGAAAAAAATGCTGAAAATGTATACAGACACAAGCCCGTTATTTTTCACCATTCCACTTAATAATTCTCTCTTCTTGCTTTATTTTTGCATTGCATAGAATCTGTCAGTTTGGGTGAGTGTTTTCAAGAGCATATCTATGGCTTAGAACATACAACTCTCATTTTCAAAATCTGCCTAGATGTCTTTTAATTTCGGAGTACAATTTGCATTTGCCATTTTAAATGACAACTCCTATTTTTAGGTCTCCAACGTGCTTTAAACCGTTTTAACCTCACTACCTCAGAATATTATTTTTTTCCCCTGTTCTTCCTCTCTTCAACATAAATTTTAGAAGTCTGCTATTTCTTTGAATTCATTAGACCTAGCTTCTTCAGATAGCTACGTGCACTCTTAACATTAAATGCATACTTGTTATCCTGGTGCTATGCCTCACTGAAAATAGGCATAGTTAATGAAGTGGAACAGAACGAGATCAATAAAACATCTCTGTGTTGTTAGTAGAATACCTCATGTACTGTGCATATATGTTGTACATAAAGCAGCACTGTAAAAGATGAAAACTACTTTCCAATTGTCTCAAATAGACATCAATCACTTTGTTTTATATAATCATTTTCACTTGATGTGAGACCAGCCAATACCGATGCTAAGCACACAGCCAAGAAACAGAGAAAGACGGATGCACGTTATAAATATTAACTAACACATTTTTAGGCTATAAACTCGCTTTGTATCCTTCTCTTACTGAAGGGTTAATTCTCCAACTTAAGAACTGTACACATCCCATCTCATAACGGTTCTCCTTCCAGCTAGCTGTTTTCTCACCTCATGATACCTCTGCCCAAGCTTCTTCCTGTAAGACACCAAGCTGAATCTCATCCAGAATGACTTTGCTATGTGCCCGTGATTGTAACAATATTTCAGAATATTGTTGAAAGTCCCCTGAAACGGCTAATTAATCTTGTCTTTTTCCTGAAAACTTCAGCAGCATGCAAAATTGTTTGGTGAAATCAGGATCACGGTGGAAGAGAGATGTGTCTGGAGTTGACCTTTTTGGTGAATAAATTACAAACAAAACAACCGTTCTTCCAAGGCTTGTGGCATTAATCTGCTGTTAGTATATGCCCCTGTGTATTCAGCTTTCTGCACAGCAGAAACGAGAAGGCACATTACGCTCCTCCTCAAGGCAAAGTGATCATCTCCTCTGGGAGGATTTTTTCAGGCTGGCAGAGGGGAGACATCACGTGCTTAAATCAGGAAAGAAACAAGGAGGAAGGAACATTACTATTAGTCTAAAAAGCTTCCAAATCTTTGGTAGAAGGCGGCATATGTAAGTTGACTAAACTGAAGCTAAACGCCAGATTATTTCTACACACAGACCTTTTTATTCTTCATTGATTCTAACTGTATTTTTGGAGACATGTTTTAATAGAAACAAACTGTTCTTTGGGAAAGTTCTGCAAAACAACAGACACAATGGGCTTGATCTCAAACAGCAAGAATACATATATTTTCTTTTTTTTTCTTCATCAACTTGGGTTTTCATTCTGCTTTGTACCTTTCTGTTTACTTGTCTGTTTCTGCACTTTGAATTCTCATATTTTAGCTTGCATCTGAATTCAGCTTCCAGGGGATCCCAAGAAAGTGACTCCTAAATTCTCTTTCTCTAAATGACAAAAAACTCTCAATGATTTCTGTTCCCAACCCATGGCACCATTTGAGAACAATGTCATTCTCAAACTATAGAACTTTTTCTCCCCAAAGACATGAGACCATGGTAAGAATCAACCAAAATTGTATGTTACCTCTGCCTGTTTAGAATCATGCTGGTTGTACGTTTTACCCTCACTGCTTTTCAGGACCTTGGGAAAAGACAAAATAATTTTTCTGAATCTTGTAATTAGAGAA